AAATAATCAGAAGCAATTTCTTGGAAAATATGAAAAGGTATAATTTTGTGCTTTCTGCCGCAAAAGCATTAGGAAAATTAATATGATTAAGCGTTTGTAGGCATCTTTATCAAGTTGAAGAGCATACTAAAGACACTTTTTCATAAGATAAAAAACTACCTTCAAGAAACTACTTATGTTGCCGACATTTAGAAGGTTCGAGGCTTGACTTGTCTACTTGATGAATGAAGTCATCACTCAAGAAACTGAAAGCGTGAAATTCTCTCACTTTTCCAGAAGTTTGTTACTTAAGCTTTTAGTTCATTTAAGGAAGTCTTTGCTCTTGGTTTGAGGAATCTTTTTAGAACACATCTCCATACTAAACACACCTAAGAATACCTATAATTCACTTATCTCAACATGATTTTGATTTGAGACCTACACAGCACTTTAAAAAACAATTGCAATTCGATTGCTTCGAAGCTATAATACCCTTCACAAATAAAAAAGTTTTCCTTACAAGAGCTTAATTTTAATCGGTCAGGCTGTATGGCAGCTATATGCTATAGGGATCCGATCTCAACAATTTCTGCGGCGATTGCGCCGCTGCCTTAAACAATAATCCGTGTCAATTTTGGTGAAGATATCTCGTTCATTGTTTCTTACGAGCACTTTATTCCGATCGTTCAGTTTATATGCAAGCTTTATGCTATAGTTGTCCGAAATCAGTAATTCCGAAAAAAGAGCAGCATCTTTCAAAAACTAAGGAACTAGTTCACGTATATACAGAGAGAGAGACAGACGTACATGGCTAAAGCAACGCAGCTCATCATGCTGATCATTTATGTATATATTTTATAGGGTCCCCGACGTTTCCTTTTGGGTGTAACAAACATCGTGGCCAACTTATTTTACCTTTTTTTTAGGCTATAAAACACAACGACTAAGTAGAACTGAATGCATTATTGTCATAATTTACCATTTATATCATGGTAATAATTTTACACTCTTCAATTTAAATTTGATTGTATGCTTCTAAGTAAATAAATGTATACTTGAGCTTGATTTCTCACAGTATTTACTCGAAGACAAATGACATCGCTATGTGAGTAATAAGATAATAGTAAAAGCCTTGTCACATAGGCCTAAGCAGTACATTAAACGAACTGTGTGCCTGTGTTCCTAAGATGGGGATCACACTTGGACTGCTCGAGACAGTATTTTTGTGATGCGATTCAGATCCATCTATCCATAGAATCCCGCAAAAAGTATTTTAGCTTTGATATCATAGAGATGGAGTAGAGAAGATAAAAATGTTGAAGTGATTCTTCGTCGTCTTCTTTGAAATAATTTCTACGATTAACAACCGGTAGGATGTTTACTCTGTTCAAATCCCTACACCTAGAAACTAAGTTTGTGACGGATGAGAAACTGATTTTTATAAAAATCATATATCATGTATTCATATATGTATACGTCAGCAACAATAAATGAATGAACTAACTTTTCACCCAAATAATGATTTTTTTTTTCATTTTATTCACACACATTTTTCCCCGACGGTGCCGATCCTTTCCTCTCCAAATACTCCTGGTACTTGACAGGGAACTTCAATCCAATCCAAGAATCCAAGAAATTTTCAAAGCTTACGTAGAGTTTTGACCCCACTTGCTGAGAAAAATTATATGCTACCAATGCTGAGCTAAAAATCTTTAGATATACGTCTGCTAATTTTATCGTAAAAACAAACCTGGCGATCCAAGTCGGCTGCTATAGTTTACGTGAAATGAATCAAACAAGTTTTCCAATTTTTGGTTTTTTTTAGTTAACTGTACAATTTACGTAAGCCTCAATTTATTTTGCAAGCAATTAAAATCAAAATAAATTTTGAATAAAATATTTTCATATTGTGTATTTGTAATATGTTTACTTTAAAAGACAACGCAAATCAAAAAACTAGTCACCGTTATCTGCATTTAATTGTTTCAACAGAAACTAATAAAAACCTTAACCAATTTATGTCATATTCAAAAATTTGCAATAAATCACGCCGACTTTGGAAACTCGCTTCCTCTATTAGAAATTTATGCACAAAAATTATTTTCGAAATACACAAATCAAGTTACGAGTGTCAAATGCCACGTCAAAACATACAGAAATTATTTGTTATATATGCAAAAACATATGAGTAAATATATGTACGAATATATTCCTCTGTGTATCGGTATTTATATAAGAGCTTCCCTACTGTTTTTCTAAAGATTTATTTCATGGAATTTATCAAGAACAGACATCATAAATTACCCTAATAGAGTTCGTTTGAGATCACTTCCAGGTCCGTATATGTGGCAACCAATTTTAACAATTCAAGATCATTAACATTTCGATGTAAAAAAAAGTAGAGATATACATACATACATACCCAATTTCGCACCTGTCGCCGCTGAAGAAGATAATAATAATGGAGAGCATATATCATCTGAACTTAGTGACAATTTACTTAAGTTAAGCAAATTAAGGTCAGGAGGTCATGGTGGCTGGGATGTATTCTGCATGATATGTTCTCAATATAAACCGCCAACAATTGAAATGTGGATTGACTCTTTTAGTACCAGAAAGACAACCAAAACATATGAAGTAATCTTGTTATCAGAAATTCTTAGAAATCCTCTCTTTTGATGTGGGCTTAGACCATATGACTAAGCAGATGAGATTCTCGAAAATTGAGAAACTTTCTAAAAACATACTTAAGACCCACTAATCGCGTAAAGATTAGGAAAATTTGTAAATAATAATAATAAGAGAAATAATTTCTCTGCTTCCTTCCGTTTTTAAAGAGACTCGCACTGCAGCTCTGCACTAATACAACGTTGTTTTAATATATGCGCTATTAGTCCACTCCTCCTAACTAATGGATGAAATTATTGCTACTTAATCTTAATATTGCCTTACTCGGTCTAGTTATGTGTTAAAGACAGATTGCTTCGCCTGAAAATTTTTTTCTCATCTGAGTAAGCCAACAGTTTGGCTAATCGAATAGAAAGACTGTAGGTAGAAACCTCTGAATCTGATAGACTGTTTGTTGAAACCTTTGCATCGGTTGACGAGAATAAAACTCCAAACTGGTAATCACTCAAAGATCAAAACTAAATTTACAAAAATTAAGCTGTTATTGGAAACCATCTTATAGCAACTGAAGCCTAGAAGAGAACAGCCTCTCTGTGGTCCCATATCGAGCACACATAAGTCCAATTCAGAGTGGAAAATTATATTCTTACTAAACTTCTTCAGTGTTTATGCCAATGGTTCAAGAGGAAACTTTTGTTACAGTGGTTTCGTACAGGATATGGAATTTTCAATTTATTACTTTTATTAACATGATATTGATGTGGAGATATTGGTGAAGCGTTTCATTGAAGAACTAACAGTTCCACTGGTCATTGAAAGACTAAATTTAGAGCAACAGTAAGCTGACAGATTTTCTAAAGTATAAATTGTTACATTTCATATATACATATATATAGTAGAGTGAGGCAAAAACCCAATAAGAGAATATGGGATAATCGGAAATCAAAAATCCTAATGCGCTATACATATGGTATATGAGATAATTACCAGATTTTTTCTGGTAATTTCTATTATTATCATTATTTTCACTGTATCTAAGGAAAAATTATTAATTGGTCCACCATAATATACATGTGTATATCCTTTTTATACCTGGCCAGGCTATATATACTTTGACCAACTGTAACATATAGTTGCCGTACAAACTGAAAATCAATCAAAATCAATTTCTTGTGCAGAAATCTTATTTATTTGACAAGATATCTTCACGAAATTTCGCATGGATTACTGTCTACAGCAGCGGTTTAATCTGCGAGAAAATTTTTCATATCGGACTAAACCTATATCTGATATATTATATGTACAAACTAATGATTATAATCAAGTTCATACATGAATAATTTTTATTCGTAAAGGGTATTATTGCTACTGTGTAACCAAATTAACCTTATTTCTTGTATATTAGAAATACAGACACTTAATATGTACATATAAACATATGTACACATACATAAATAATGCTATTAAAATTTACAAACAATGATTTTGCAAAAAAGCATTTTTCATTTTTCAATTTGTCACAATCGGAACTTTTCACACTTATGTATACCTATACAATGAGGTGTATGTGGTCTATAGGTATGTATACATATACATAAAGCATAACCAATGAATACAATTATCACAATTTGATTTTTTGCGCATATTTTTTCACTCACTGACTTTTCATCTCACACTTATACATAAACAGACACACACATGCATAAATACATTTATATTTTAACGCTTTCAACTTTATTCGTTAAAAAATTATTTTCATACCCTGAACAGGGTAACATATTAAGTTTGCCACGAAGTTTGTAACACCCAGCAGGAAACATCGGAGACCCCATAAAATGTATACATAAATGATCAGCATGCTGAGCTGAGTTGATTTAGCTATGTCCGTCTGTCCGTCCGTCCGTCTATAAATACGCGACTAGTCCCTCAGTTTTTAAGCTATCTGAAATTTCGCACATGTCCTTTTGTCCCCAAGATGATACTCATTTGTCGGAACGGCCAATATCGGACCACTATAGCATAAAGCTGCCATACAAACGGAACAATCGAAAACAAGTACTTGTATAGAAAACTTTTTCATTTGACGTAAAATCTTCACGAAATTTGGCGTGAGTTATTGTCCAAGGCAATAATGCAATCTCCGAAGGTATTGTTCAGATCAGATCACTATAACATGAAGCTACCTTACAAATTGAACGATCCGAATCAAGTTCTGTGAAGGGTATTATAGCATTGGTGCAACCGAAGTTAACGTTTTTTCTTGTTTGTATATTCTCTAGTGTCCGCTCGGTGACTGGAGTCACATCACTAGCTCTCTTTTCCATTGATACTTTTAATATACATATATCTTTCTCTCTCTCACATGTACACACCCTCTGCTTGTCTCATTGCAGCTGCAATACGCCGCAAAGTATGCATTTGGCTATCGCATACGTGATTTTAATACCGGCAATGATTTTGGCCACAAACAGAATCGTGATTTGGATGGTGTGACGCGCGGTCAATATCATATTTTATTGCCGGACGGACGTATACAGAATGTAATTTATCATGCAGACGATACGGGATTCCATGCGGATGTCAGCTTCGAGACGGGACACTGAGTCGGGTGCCCCTGAACGCCCAACAGTCACACGCACACATACAAACAAGCAAGCAACCCAGTCAATTTAAGCCAATTTCAGCACCATGAAAGCCAAAAATATAGCGTGTGACAGTTAGAGCGCGGGGTTGCGGTGTCGAGCATTCGGAATATGTAAAAGATGATAAACAAAAAAGCAATGATTTTCCAAAAAAATCAGAATTTGGTTGCAGTGCTGACAAAAACAGTGGTGTCAACAACACAAGCTGCAACAATAAGAACAACGACAGCATGTAGCGGCCACAAAAACGGCGCCACAACATTCACTGATTGGCATCGCGGTTTCACGGCTCAATTCGATTGCGTTTGCGTGTCGGCCAGCTACAACAACGTGTGTGTATGTGTGTGTGGCTTATTATTTACTTTTTCTTGCAGGCATAATATTATTGCAATTCAGTAGGCTGGCAATAATGCAATAATTTGACATCGATAGTTTTTGCTTATATTAGTGTTTTGTTAAAGGGCACTCACTGATTTTGTCACAAAATTATAATCCTTCTGTTTTGTTCCTTTTTTTTGTTTAATATTTCTCTTATATGTTGTTGGAAAAGAATTTTACTCATATTACATATGTATGTTTGCGTAATTTAAGATTTTTTAATTTTTATTTTATTTCTCATTTAAATGTTGCAAAATTTGCAGGATTCTAATTTTTACTGTTTTTTTTTTCAAACCACTAAGCAAAATTTCCAAAAACAAAATTTATTGGATTGCCAATATCATTGGTTTTGATAGCATGTTATGTTGTTATTATATTATTTTGATAGCAAATTATTATATGTCTTTTTTTTTTTTAATTTACAAAAAGGAATTACAATTTAAAGGACAAAAAAGATAACTGTTTTTTAATTTAAATAATTCTTTAAATATATATAACTCTTTTGGAACTAAAAATCTGTTTGATAAAGTATTTTGTTTAAAATTCATTTTTTCGGCAACTATAATTTTATTTTAGCTTACTTGTAAGTTGTTTTTTATTTGAATTAATTAATGTTATAGTTTATTTATGATGTAATATATTTTGTTAATTAACACTTTTGTTACTTGTTGTTCTGAAAACGTTTTCTTACTATTAGCTCTTTAAAAATGTTAAGGTTTATCTTTTCTAAACTTTATTTCTGTAAGCTCCAACGTCATTTTATATCTGATACATGTTCTCCTTTTCGAATCTCTTAGGTGTTATTTAACAAATATTTTATTTTGAAAGTTCAAGCAGTAGTTTTAAAATATCCTTAATATATTAAAATTATTTATAATTTTTCATGTTTTTGTTTTTGGTTGCTTATGAGTTTGGAAAATAATATTTAAAATGTATTGTCTATTAAATTAATAAATCTAATCCTACTTTTTTAAATTGTATCTTTTTTTAAATTTTTTAATTGTTTTAAAGATTATCTAATAAATTATTCATGTTTTTGATTTCAAATATTCAAAATGCTAACTTTCATTAATTTTTTCATTTTGAAATTTTTATCTATTCAACTCTTTTAAAAAATTATCTAATGAATTATTCATGTTTTGGATTTAAAATTTAACCAAAAAATCCAAAAATCTTAATTTTCCTTAATTTTTTCTTTTAAAATTTTCTCGTTTTAAAAATTGTCAATACTTAATTTTTTTTCTTTCACAAAATCCGAAAATTAAAAAAAAAAATTCTTATATAACTTAAAAAACTTTAAAGTGTATTTTTTTGTCAATTTTTTCAGGTGTAAATGAAATATTATGTTCATTTTTGATTTTTTTTTTATGAATAATGATTATTTTATAATACTTTTCTTTATTTTTAGTTACTTTGAGTTCATAAAACTGATTTTTTACATTAAAAGTATAAAATTTTTTAGATCATACCAATTAACTTCAAACATTATCATATAATTAACCGCTTGCTCAATTATGTCAAATGTTTTAGTGCTCGTCACTGTAATTTGAAATAAAATTTTTATTCAATGATTATTACAGAATTAATTTTGACCAAAAATACAATGAAATTTATTGTTGCAACAAAAAATGTAACTCTGTAAAATCCACAAAATAACTGTTTATTTGGTTCTTCATTTTCACTAATTATTTTCACTGCGCCATAAATGAATTTGCTCGCTATATTTCAACACTTTCTGAGTGTGGCTGTGTTCTTTTTTCCTTTTTGTTACTTTTTCACCTCTTTGTGGTTGCAACATTTTTCACGTCTTCTCTGCAAGCTATTAACCGTGCAGAAATTGCGAAAATTCAATTAAAATGCAATAATACCAAATTTAATTATAAAATGAATAAAGTTGACAACAAATGAATAGTATGAAGTAGGAGAGAGCAGAAGTTGGCGAGCAGCAAAAAAAACATAAATAGCAATAATCAAATTATTGGTCTTAATTTGGTGTAAATTCGATTTTTTGTTGATTAACTGCAAACAAAAAAAACGTTATGTAAAAAGCAAATTATGGAGAAATAGTGCAATTTCGAATATTATATTTATTCTTCAATCTTTGTTTCATTTAATTAAATTTTAAACAATTAAACAAATATATTTTAAAATTTAAAACAATTAATTAATGTTGACTTTTATTGAAATGATTTAATAAACTGACAACAAATAATTTATTTTCTTTTTGACTTGATTTTTTAATTAATTAAATTAAAAAGACTAATTTTTTAAATTTATAAAAAGAATTTTATAAATTACAAAATATTTTTTTTAAATATTTAACAATAAATTATTGAATATTAAAAATATTTTTTAGTTAATCAATTTTTTTTTCTCATTTCAACTAATGAATGTATTTTATTTAAACTTAAAAATATTAATTATTTATTATATAATTTCATAATTATTTTTTAGCTATAAATTTGTCTTGAAATTTTTTTTAAATGTTTATATTCCATTTTATTTAACGATTTCTTATATAAAAATGAGAAAATAAAGCAGCTCCTTTGAATTAAATCTTTATGTTTTACATTTTTAAAATTTATTTATGTGCTTGGGATTAATATAAACATATTAATAATAAAACTAATAAATGCCCTGAAATATTTTTCCACGAAATTTCAACTAAAAATCAAAAATTAATTTTTTAGCTACATAATCTGAAGCCCTTCTAACTGATAACAAAAATTTGAAGGTAAAATTGTTATAACATTTTATAAAATTACAATTTTTTAATTTTAAAACATTAAATTAAAAAAAATGTCAATCAACATTTACTTCGACACGTTTTTAAATTTTAATTTTTTGGTAATTTAAATTTTTTTAAATATATTCCAATGCTGATGCTCTTCCATAAAAAACTTATTTGTTAAATTTTAAGAAAGTAGAAATTGTACATCTTCAACCACATTTCATACATATGCCAATGTACATTCTTATTCACATTTATAATTTTTAGTTTTTTAAAACTATATCTTTTTTAAGAAATTTTATTAGTAATTACATAAAATATTTTATTTTTAATAAATGTTTAAACCTAATCATTTATAAATGTTTGCAGCAAGTTTGATCTTTACGGGTAATTTCCATGTGCAATACTACCTATATAATTGATATTGTTATCATAATTTTATTAAAATATTATTTTACATTACTTAAATATATATATATATATATATATATATATGTATGTTAATATATTTGTACTCATTTGTAAGTGCATTTGTTTAAACAAAGCTCAATTCATGTGCAATAATTTTGACAAATCAAAATAAAATTTAACAAACAGTCTTATTTGTAGTAATAAAAAGTTGTTATTGTTGTTTTCTTCAAAAACCTTTAAATATTTAAAAATAAATTTTTCAACCAAAACCAGAACTCGTTGCATGTACCAACATTGTTCTATATGAGGAAAAATACTAAAAAGTATAAAGTACCTTCCAGCGTAAATTCAAATTCCAATCAAAAAAGTCATTGCTTAAGCACAATCGTACAAGATATCTATAAATGTTTAATTGCGTACACTGTAAAGCGATAACTATTCGGATTTGAAAGGAAGTATAATATAAAAAAGCCCAAAGAAATATTTGTATACAATAAAATGTCCTTTTCTAGGTGGATAAGCATATCAAAAGTGAATATCGAGCTCAAAGCAGTTGAACATATAATATAATACCTAGATTTTCCCTCAATGCATAGCTCTCCATTAAATTTGATAAAGCTTCTGAATAAGATCTCTATATAATAAATATGTAGATCTACGACACTCGAATCACAGTGCGATTAAATTATGTTCGCTTGCACTTGATTACCATCTTATTTTTCGATCGCCTATTCATGACACCCAAAAACGACGTAACTTACGAAGAGCTATCCGAAAGATCTTAAATGCTGTATACGTTGACCATTTTCCCACCTCCATCGTTTCCAGTAATACACATAGAGGCCAATGAACTATTGAAACACTGGACTTCAACTGGCGAACTTGCTCCGAAGTAGGCGTAAGACATCGACCTACAGTGTGATTACCATAGTGTTTAAGTTTCACAAGATGTGATCTAAATAGACTACATAAAGAAGGAAAACACGATCACAAGCCTCTACTATGTAGATTTGGAACGAAGCTAGACTGTTCAGATTAGCAAAAATATGAACTCCTCAGGGGTATACTGTCACCACTCTTGTGGTCACTGGTAGCTAATTATCTTCTGGAAAAATTGTAAAGGAAATCCCCTAAACTGATAGCTGGTGCGGACGACATAGCTATATATGTGACGGAGAACGGTTACGCCGATGGGCAATATCGGCCAACCTAGAGCTGAAATCCCGCATGACGACTTTGCTATTTACAAGAGGCTCGAAAACAAAATATATCCGTTTTTCCAAACTTTACGATTTTCTATTGTAGGTTAAGTAGTTACTTCAAACATCTTTTTTTATTGCAATATTGTAATGATACGAATACGTCATTCGGGTAGCATACTGCAATCCAAAATCAATCCATAAACGAAGAGAATAACCATTTTATTTTTAATTTCGTTTTCAGTATAATCGTTTGTTGAATTTTTGGATACGTTAGTTTAGTCGGACCACAAGACATTCTTAAATCCCGTATATAGCTGCAAATAAGAGATATTTCAGGTTTCGAAGAGAGAGTGACCCCGATTTCATTTACATATCTCAATCAAATTAGCTGCGCTCCAAACCTCCATCCGGCCATTTCTTTTTAATATTCAGCATCATAAATCTTAACACTAGAAGTTTTTCGCAAACTTTGACTGATAGTTTTTCGTAAACGCAGTCACCTTTTTCTGCTCACCAGGCAAAAAATAAGATTTTATACGTTACTGTAGCAAAATGAAATGAGTATGAAAAAGAAATAGGCAAAATAAGAAATAAAATAAATGAATACGGATGAAGAGAAGAGAGAACTCAATGAGCTCACAAACAACGGTATGTGGAATAAAACAAATTAAAAGCGGGGCGGAGATCGGTGCAGAGGATGAGCGTTAGCGCAGTCATCGAATGCGTAGATATATGTTTGTATGTGTGTATTTAGTATCCTTTCGCTTATCATAAATCAATTTCACGTATACGCCCACGCGTCACACATGGACTTACATACGCAAAAAATCACAAGGATTTGCCGGCGAGTGAACAAAATTACACACATACATATGTGGACATGAATACAAAGTGGGCAGACAGATACGACAATGTTGCTGTCGCTTGCTTGAAAGCCGTTTTCTTACACACACAATTACATATATATGTATATGTATATATTTGTATATATATTTAGCTATATAGTAGAGCTTTCTTGTATGCATACTCACACGCCTCATTTGCTTAAGCCGCCAACACACTCACACCGCTTTCACACATTTTCTTGTTTGTATAATTTTTCTTATTTCCATATCTTTCTTCGTTCGCTTGCGTCGCTTTGCCTGTCTAATTTGCATATAAATATTTTTTGTAATCAATTTAACTCCTTTCTCAGCCTTTCCTTATATGCCTT